TGAACGTACAAGCTCCGTCGGCCAAGACTCGTCGTCGGACTCGCGCGTTGGCTTAACGCGCGCCTTCAGGTGGAATCTGTCGCCAACTTGACTCTCCGAGTCTCCGCCGACGACGTCCTCAAAAGGATCTTTTGAGCACCGCGACAAACTCGCCTAACGCGATTCCCGTACTCGACAGAACATATGCTGCAATTTGCGGAGAGAGAGAGAGAGAGAGAGAGAGAGGATGTGACGTTGCTGCTGAATATTACAGACGGCGGCGAGTGTTGTTCGAGATAGACGTAAACTGCTCTCACTGACTGAGCTCGTCGAAAGGCCGAGAGTGTAAAACTTATAATAATAAAAGAGGGATGAGAGAAGCGACCGAGGGAAACTTTTTAACAAGTTATTACACGTCGTTCCACGTCTCGGCGAATGAGATTTTTGCGCAATAAAATACGCCGAGAGTATGTCGTAAACAATTTCTTGACGAAAAAGCGCGAGAAGGTCATCGAGGACATTTCGTCCTAATTTTGTCGCGACAGGATAGCGTATCTTGATTAATTCGCCTTGTGTCCGCGCCTCTCACACGACCGGAGAGAGAGCGGCTATTAATAACCGCTCTTTTCTCTCGGAGAGATCTCTCTGTGTTGTGTGCAAGAGATCACGTCGGCATGTACGAGTTTGCGGGAGGGAGAGAGAGGGACGAGAAAAGATGGTGGACTTCCGACTCAGTTGCACGCCTCGGCGGAAGATTTAATTGCGAGCTTTCCGCGAAACTGACGGCCTCTCATCTTCAGGTCGGCAAGGAAGCGCAAAAAGAACACGTCGAAATAATATGACAGAACTAGCCGGTGGTCGCCTCGCAAGAAGATCTCACCGGCTGCGGTGAAGTTTAAGAGACGTGTGAGGATGCGGGAAAGAATTTTGCGATGAAGAAGCGAAATGATTGTTACTCTTTTACGAGAGATAAAAATCGCGAAAAGCTAGACTTAACGAAATTTTGCGAGTAAACACGAAATAAAGCGGAACTCTTTCTCTATCTTTCTCCTCTTTCTTATCCGGAACTTCGAGAGGAAGATACCGGAAACGCGGGGGCGGGAAGGACGGATATCGAAGAAGGGTTGCGGAGCAGCTTCGTGCAAGTTTAATTGGTTCCCGGAATCCATTTTGCCTGCTTTTTAGTCTCGCGACGATACGCGTTTCATTTTAGTTTTAAACCCCCGTCGGTGCTTCGCGACGACGTCTCGACGTGTCCACGTCACTCCTTCCTGTCTCTCTCTCTCTCTGTCTTCGATGGATATCGAGTTTTACGATCGACTTGCTGCGGGCGACGACCGTCGAATCCATTCACGCAGCTTCCGCGGAAAAGTGCCTCGCGCATCGCACAAAATTAGATCAGGAAATTTCCACGACGGCGAAGTTTAACCCGCAAGAATTTTCAATCTCTTTCTCTCTCTCTCTTTTCTCTTCCGAGCGCGGAATTTTTCTGTCATGGAAAAATCTGCATTTCCTCCCGATGCTCGCTCCGTTTGATCTCCCATCCGGCGACGTCACCTCGCGCGCTCGGGCCGGACGTTATTTTCTATATCTGCTCTTACGTTCCCGACGTAACTTCCGACTGGTTAATAAAGTATCCGGAACTGCTTGCCGAAGAGGAGGAGGAGGGGAGAAGCGAAGCTTTACGCGCATCGTAAAAGTTGCGCTATTGAAAAGTTTCAACGAGTCTGTGCGCGCGCGATACGTGGATGGTTTGAAAAAAATTTTACTGGCTACTACTCGTGTGTGAGGCACAGCCAAAGTATAATCCGCAATGTTACACCTCGTAGAATTTTATGGACTTCGTTATCTGACGGGAATAACCGACAAACTGTAACCGAGCCTAGAAACGATTTAGATAAAAGAGAGAGAGATAAAACGAGGAAGAGAATATTCATCGCGAATTCTTTTATTTCTCCCGAATTTTTCGTATCGCGCGGGCGGAATCATTTCCCGGTTATACGCAACCGTGAAATCTCCGCCACCTTGTCCCAGATCGACGCGATAAGAGAGCGAAGCGGAGAGGAGGGAGTCAATATCGCGCTGACTCGGCGCGATTGAGAGGCTTGTGATACGCGGAATCGTATCGGCGAAAAACCGCGAAAGCGAACACCGAGCGCTCAAACGACTGCTGCACCATTGCATTGCTTGAGCGCGTTCGGCTGCTGAGAGATTTCTCTCCTCTCTCTCTCTCTGTGCGCGACAGCGTCCGGCGAGCGGCGTCGCGACGACGTCGGAACGGCTGAGCCAGCGATATTATCCCGACGTCACTGGAAAGACTTATTGGACGACGCGAACTACGCGCGCGGCGAACGATTCCGTTTGTGCGCGGTCGCTTCCGGCCGCCGCCAGTTGCTCGTTAACCAACCGAGCAACCTGCGGAAAACGACCGCTTCAGCGGAACTCAGCGCGAACAATCGTCACGCACCGCGTTCTTCTAACCGATCGTCTACAAATCTTTTAACGTCGATATATCGTTCCCGGATTGCGTCAATTTTGTGTCAGGACCGTGTATTTTTTTCTCTTTTCTTCATTATTTCTGAGAGAAACTTTATTATTATTATTATTATTATTATTTATTGTTGTTGTTATTAATGTAATTCTTACTGTAAATAAGAAAAGTAATTTAAAAAAAATATGGCGTTTCATCGTAAATATCTTGTTAAGACAACGCGCTATAAGAAAACATTCTTCCTCGGTTAAACGGTTTAATCCCTGGGAGCATTCATTGCGAAAATTACAACTTGTATTAAAACGCGCTCGCAACGTGCTGCGCACGCTCTTCTCGCGGAACAGCTCTCCAGAGATCGTTCCGCAACAAACGATACATTATACAGTAACGTGGAATTAGGTCGCGGACTGTAAATTAAACAAACTGTGCAAATGCGATCCATTGCGCGGCGCGGCAAGCACATATTTCGCGATGCAAACGCCACCGGTCCAAAGGCGCATGCACATTATGCGTGTTATATTGCAACAGATTTATTTTAGGTACAATGGAGACACACAAGAGAGTCTATTGTAACGTGGTATTAAATAAATCTCACCTCCGCTTTGCTCGCTCTCAACGCAGACTTATCGAAATGTCTAACGAAGTTTAAAATTCGTCGATATTCGATTGAAACGAATAGCGATGAGAATATAACATTAAAAATTTCACACAAAGTCGAATAACATCTTTCAATTGTTCCCCGGGGTTTGCGGATCGGAAAGAAAACCGGTTTTTTGAGGAAACGCGCCGCAGGTAGCCATAGAAAGTGCGGGAAATCCTGAACAAGAGTCCAGGAAGTCCCGCGAACAATGCAACGATTCCCGGTTGTCACGGAAAGGAAGGGAAGGGGGAAAAAGAGATAGATAGAGAGAAAAATTCGCAGAGTTTTCCGGGAAGCTGCCGTGAAAAATTCCCGGTTAGTACCGTCAGATAATGCGGGATCATCTCACGCCGGGGAATCTATTATTCCTCGATGCGCGAAAGCGTCCCTTTTTCCGCATCCCTGGAAGATTTTTTCAACGCGGGGGCGCGTTCTTAATCCCACGTTACACGTGCTTCCGCCGCACGCATTGTAAAGTGTAACTCGTGAAAGTTTTATTGTCGTTAGCTAAAAACATGTGCGCGCACAAACTACAAGATTATCCCCGCGCGTTTCGCATTGTTCGCGCGTGTTTCCGCGGCGATGATATTTCAAGAGATAAGCTTCGCCACTCCCCTCTCCGCCAGAGAACGCAATTCTCGGAGAATTTGGTAATTTTGCGAGACGGGAAAAAAATAAAAAAAATAACAATACCACACACACGGGTATTTCCTCGCGGAGCGGCAGATCGAGGCGGCGATTGCGATTGTAACAAAGAAAAGTGGGAGACAGAATTTGCGAGCGATATTTCCCAGCATCCGATATTAGAGACTATTAGAGATCGTATCTCTGGCGAGGGTTGCAGTAGGACGCAGTCGGATCGATGCCGAGAGGATACCGCATCACGTAAGCGAGAGATTGGCCGCATCCGGCTAGCTCGTGACCCGGTCCAGCTGTGACCTTGGCCTGCATTTTAGAGATGCAGCTGCGCGCGTGGCATCCACTCGAATGTGTCGTATGCATACGCGATTACAGACTACGTCGATATAGATTCGCACGTTATTATACGCCCTCCAGTCAGCTTACGTAATCAAATGAATTGAGAATTCTCTCAGAAGTTCGCGCGAAGACTGAACTGAGAGCGTTTAGGGTCTTGAGGGAAAAAAGAGAAAAGGGGAAGTAACGGGGTTATTTTTATGTACACGTTTGTGTCAAAAGAGGAAAAAAGAAAAAGCTTTTTCATGTAGAAAGCAATTTTTTCCGTTCAGATTGCGGAAAACCGATCGTCGTTCTATTGTGCAACATCGGGATCAGAACGTGTGCAATAAAAAAAAAAAAAAAATGCGTCTGCTTGTTGAAAACGCGCGTTGAAATTGAGAGACGAGACGGTGGCCGGCGAAGCGTGCGAGTAAAAAAAATTAAAAAAACGCGAACAAGAAACATACCTCAGGAAGCTTTTTGAACTTCAACGCGAAGCCGCGGGAAACAAAGACGAGCGCGCCAATCAACACTCGGAAAATTGTACCAATCAAACGGGATAAAAATTACAGTCCTAGAGCGAGCGCGTCCGGCGCTTTGTTCTTTTCGCGATATTTTTTTTTCTCTTCGTGTGATGTAGCGCGCGACACACTGTTTTTCCGTAACGCAAAGCGCGATACTTCTATCTCGCGCAAAGGCATAGAAAGGAACTTTTTATTTCGCGCGGCACATTGATTAAGTTCAATTAAACGAGTCTAGCGCGTCGTTTCGCTGCGCAATTTCTCACACGAACGGACAGACTCCCCGAACCTTTGTGCGCGAAAAATGGTTTGTGAACTCTGTTAAATTCTCGCGTGGCCCGCGGGCTGGCGCGACCGCGTGCGGTATCGCGTGAAAAATAACGAGAAAGAGAGAACATTCAAAAAAACTCACCGTGAAACGTCCTCCTGGGATACTGCTCGCGGTGTTCCGGTGCCGTGAAGAGCGAGGGAAGACGCATGTCGTGATTCCTGCGAGTACGGCAGCGCGGCGGTGTTGTTCTCCAACGCCGACACGGATCCGTTTTGCTTGCCTGTCGATAAAAACAATTATCACGCTGTCATTAATGTGCACAGGTTAGAATTTGAAAATTCTATTCGACTTCACGTTGTACAGAGCGAAGTTCGCGCGCGCGCGCGCATGTGTGTGTTCGGGCGCACGAAAAAGGAACCGAGGTGGAAAATAGCGATTTTTATCTAAAGCTTGTTTATTCGCGCGCGGAAGGTGGCGTTTTCCACGGATGAAAACTCCCGACCGAGATTAAAGCAAATATTCGGGTAATCCCGCGGGGCGCCGCGGCATTAAAGGGGCAATTTGAATACTGTCGGGTATCAGACCGTCGAGCTTTTTCGGTTGGTCAGCCGAACTGCGCCCGTCTCTTTTTCTGTGCGCGGCTTTTCCCATTTCGAGAAAAATAAATACGAGAACGTCGTCGCGATAAAAAACAGGGAATCCACTTAGTTAAAAAGATATCGAACATACGCATCTCGTCGCTGTATATTGTGAAACTCATTTGTTTACACGTTACGATATAAAAAGACATTGATAAATTGATCTTTTTTTTTTTTTGTACTCGTCTGCGCCACTTCCACACAGACACACACACACACACGCGCACGGAATATAAAGAAAATTTCCTAATACTTAATTTAAAAGCGAGGAGCGACTTTTTCTCGACCGCGCACGACGTTTTACTGCGGCATCGAATTTTAACATGCACTTTCGAGATTTCTCCAATCGGACATTTCGTACGCGCGCGGTGCGCCGCATTCGTGGCAGCGCGCGTCGATAAACGAGGTAAAGCGAGGTAAGACCATCACACAGCTGCGCGTCATTCGGAACGAGTTTACGAGACCCGTTTTACGAGATCGATGAATAAGTTACGGCCCGATCGTCGGCAAAGCTCGGCTCTGAACGGGAAAGACCCCCCGCGGATCAAAAATTCATTTCCGCACCTTTCGCGCACTCGTAACCCGGGCTTCCGTTCGCGTATACCTATATTCCCTCCGACCAGGAGTCACGACGGAACGGAGTCATGGTTCATTTGAATTTCAACGCTCACCCAGTTCTGAATAATTAATAGCGCGCGTCGCCATAATTATTTCGATTGAGAATCTTCTCGTGAACAAACCGGTGTCCCCGCGGGGGCGAAAAATACAATCGCGGGTGTTAAATCGCGGCCGAAATTTTCGTCCATATTTCTTTTATCGCATAAATCATAAAAAAAAACGGCGAAATAAAACCGCGAGTTCTTTTCACGCTGTGATTTTATTTTATTTCCTCGCTTGAGATTGATCACCAACAAAATCATATACTCTCGCATTTGTACCGAACGTTTTGTCTCTAAAAAAGAATTTATTATAAAAGAATTAACGAAATCGGAACGTTTATTTTACAAACTGTTTTGTGTGATGGAATGCTCACGAAAAATTCAACGATAAAATAGACCAGAAAGCTTTTTAATTTATGTGGTTAGAATTAAATTGATATTTCTCTCAATACAATCGTTTAGATTATTTTTTTTTATCATCTTCAGCCAATTTACCACAAAATTAATCCTAATCCTGTAAACTCTGACATTCATGTCCGACAATTTTTTTTATTAAAACATTGCAAAAAATTTGTAAAAATTTATCCGCCAATTTACTTAAGAAAATTTGTTATTGTTTTTTGTTACTTGGCAAATACTTGGCAAAAAATCCATCTTTTTTAATTACACGAAAACAGGTTTGCTAGAGTAGAAGAAGATTAGTTGCTATATGACTAGCAAGAAAAAAAATGTGCCAAGTCTAAATTTTTTGGTTTACCAATAAAACGCTTTATTGATGAAACAAAAATTCAGTAAACTCAGCAAATTCTTTTTGCTGACCGTGTAACAGCAAAACTTTTTTTCCCGTGATAGAAGATCTATTTAATTAAGAAACACTTAAAGTTTTTAATTAACTGTGAATAAGTCAGATGCTAATCAATCTCATCGCATTCAGGTGTACTCATCGGATGGTCTGTGCTCGTCAGTTTTCGTCGAGCCAATTATGTACGTGCGGAAGTTCTAAGAAGCTGACTTACGTGGCTGGGGTGAGAGAGAATTTTCCGTTGCTAGTGGCGGTGGTGGCGGAGGGATGATTCCACTTTCGGGCTTGGCAACCAGAAGCACGACGCGATCTTGAGTCGCTTTCAGGGTCGCCACTGCCTCTTCGTGTGTCACGTTCTCCAGATTTTTGTCGCCCTGCTGGAATCAATATGCGATACGTGCTCTTCTCAGGTCGTGTGCTAATATTGGCTCCCAAATGATCAAGGACAGCAGAGAAAGCTTTTCTCTGAGCTGTTTTCGGTGTTCTCCCTCAATATTTATCGCGCGTCATCGCAAATATTTTATACAAAAAGAACACATTAAACGCATCGTGGGATAAAAAGAAAAAAAAACGATAAAAATACAAGCGGGAACAAAACGCAATTCTAATCACGTCCGCGGTACATCTATAACTAATTTCCGCGCGCGTCTTTACTCGCTTTCTTGCGCAAATATTTCTCTCGTTGGGGAAGAATCGCCCCGCTGTTGTGTTTATCGAGTAAGGAGGAAACTGTTCCTGAGATACGACGGACTCTCGCGGTATTGTCGCGACGCACACGAACGACTCACCCGCGCGGAGTCGTCCGATAATTGATTTTCCCCGTTCAATTTCCCCTGTCAACCGTTCGCTCCGCTCTTCCTCTTCGTTCGCCGCGATTGTCTTTCCCCGAGACACTAAGAGGCAATCGGTCGCGATTATCACCGACCTGACACGCACCGAAGAAAGACGAAGACGACGGAAACAACAGCGACGACGGTATCAACTTCGATTCGCGAATGTCGCTATTTCAATTTAAAAAAAAAAAAGTATCCTCGTGCTCATTACTTTAATTAAGGTGGAATAATTATACAATGTTGCATAATGTGTACGTATAATGTAACAAAAATAAAAAATTCAATTAAGTAGTAAGGTCGATACGAGCTAATATGCCAAATAACGCGCAAATATATGTATATTTTTTTTAAGCACGGAAAAAATTTGCTAGCAAAAAATTAACTACTACCTATATGGCAAAAATTAGTTACTATGGCATGTTAATTATATGACAAGAAAAATTTGTTTAGTCCATTGTATTATTTGTCAACAAAACAGAAACCTTTATATAGAATATATATATATATATTTTGTGTAAATTTTCTAATTGAATTTAATTCAAATTGCCATGTGTATTAATTTGCATGTTTAAAAATATATGTATATTTGCACGTTCTATTTGACATTGCATATTGGCTCGTATCGATCTTAATATTACACTAAATATTACACACTTAATTGAACATTCCGCGAGCTTTATAATTTGTTGCAAAAACAAATATACATTGTTGAAAGGATTTATATAAATGGGAGAGAAAAAAAGAGAAAAAAACAAAGCAGAGTTCGCTGCATTTTTACGCAACAACCTGGTAGGAAGATCGAACACCCTCGGGAATCAACGGTTAAAGTGTGCGGATAGGAAAAGTAGATTGGAACGCTTTTCTAAGGCGCCGCCAGTAATTGATAGCTCTTCCGTCAGCGAATATATATATACAGCCCCGCGGCCGCGCTAGTCTGTGATTTTTCGCTTCGGCGATTTCACCACCTTTAAGGCACCCTTCCTTCCAAGGAATCGCGCCAAAAAAGCGCCGATTAAAGCCGCGCCAAACGAGTCGACCGGCTTGATTTATGACTGTCGCCGGAGGGTGAAGTGCAGAATGCGCGCGCGTGTACGCGAACGAAAGGCGCTTTCCTTCTTTCTTTTTTTTTTCACGTGGCGAAAGTGCGTTGAAAGGCGCATGGCTTTTTCACGCGAAGATCGACGGAGCTAATCGAGATTCGAGCGCGATTCGAGACTGTTGCGAACTCTCGTTTCCGAACTTGTGCGCTTCAATGCGATTTTTATTCGGTTCCCGACGAAAAGATACGTTTAAGATGGGAAAAAGAACAGTAAAATCTAAAACAATCGAGTGACAAAGTAACGTATACGAATCATCTTATCGCTACGCGATGAGACAAGAGGATCGAGAATTTACAAAATTACAAATCTAAGAAATTGTAGCGACTCTAAGCTTCCAAATTAAAGTGACAGGTCAGTTATAAGATAATTATCGAACAAAATCCGAAGAAATTTCCATGTCTAAAGTTGAATCGTGTTTTTTTCTCATCTGTACATTTGAAAGGGGAATTCCCCTTATTATAAATTTAGAAATGTGTATAAAATTCGGCAAAAAGAAATTCGCAACACGTTTCTTCGGGTCGCCAAAAAAAAAAAAAAACCACATCTGGCAGAACGTGTGAACGCGTCGCCGAGTTCTTTTTGCAGGATTATAAAAATTTCCCGAAGTTATAATCGAGTAGAGCGCGGGAGGGAACATCGCGAGCGACGACTCGATTAAAATTACCGCACGGAATTTTGTCCGCACGCAATCATCAGCTGTTTACGACAGTGTTCGGAAACTTTCTCGCCCGCTTACGTTTTATTCTGTCACGTGGCGGGGTAATTATTGATCTCATGGTAATTAGTTTCGGCGCGCGCGCGAGCTTGCGCGAAGTTTTCGGAGAGAAGGGAAAGGGTAATTATAAAACTCGAAACGGTTTCCGGACTCGCTCGAGCGTGGGATGCCGCAGCTCGTTTTTTCGCGACAATTTATACACGCAGTTCGCGAATTTACTTTTTGCGCTTTCTCGTACGGGAAAAGTACGGGAACGTGTTTACTTTATTTTTCTTAAATTATATATCACCGCGAGGAATCGATGTGAAAAGATGATCGCGAAATGGAAATTTTTTTTATCGGACTCTCGCGGTTTTTTGCATTTTCAAACGCGAATATCGCGCTCCGTCTTGACACCGCTTTTTTTTGTTCTCCTCATTGATTTCGATTCTCTCCGCGGATAACGACGTAGAAAAAAAAAAAAATTGCCGCTTGAAAAATGACACGCGCGCGCGTTATAAAGTAATTGGCCTCATTTCCCGAAGCCGGGCGATTCTTATCGCGGCAAAAGGGACTCGATCAATTACTCATGAGCTTTGGAAAGCAGCGCAATCTATTTTCACATCTACATTTATCTCTCTCGCAGGTAGGGGTTGAGAGAAAGAGAGAGATAGAAGAAGAAGAGATGTCACGGGCCGGTCCCGCGCGCGCTTTTAGAATGAAAAATGGTCGCGACTTCATTTTTCTACGAACACGTGCTGCCGCGCTCCTCAACCGCGAAAAAAACCGCGGCGCGCGGCGTGGACGAACTTTACAAAAGCTTTCTCTCGCTCTCTCGCCTAATCTATTTACCTCGGAGCGCGAATCGCGTTTTGCATGCAATATTATTACGTGCGACTCGACGTTTTTTGTTGAAATTTCGAGAGAAGACGCGAACACGCGCGGTGGAAGAAAAAAACAATATGTATGTACTTACCAAAGCGTTCCTGACGGCCACCAATTTGTCACCGACAACAAGACGACCGTCCACCTGGGCGGCGCCACCGTCCATGATTTTGGTCACATAGATACCGTTGTCGCCCGGTATATGTTGATTGCCGATACCGCCAGCGATGCTGAAGCCGAGGCCCTTGTTACCCTTGATCAGCTCGATCTCAATCAGCTGCGTGTGCCTCCGTCGGCGTACGTACTGAAAATCGATCGAAGGGAGGAACATGACGTTAATTGAGCCCGAAAGACGCTCCGGCGACGGACGCTCGATTAACAGCCAAATTCTCAGAAGCTTGATCGTTTAAACGCGCCGTCCGGAAAGGAGCGTTTAAAAAAAAAAGAAAGAGAGAGAGAGACTCGCGTTGCTCCTTCATTCCCGATGTAACAATGAATCCACGTAATTAAATGCCCGCCCCGGCATGGCTGATTCGAAAGATATATCTCCCCCTTCGAACTACTCTCGTTTACTTCTCGGGTGAGATTTATAAAGTGGATTTGTTCGACGCGATTTTCCTTAAACGGCCCGTTTGTACAATCGCGCTACGTAGGAGAGACGGCTCGGGTGTACGCATTAATTAAATTTTTTTTCTTCCCACGGGAGAAGCGGAGAGGCATTCGCAATGAGATGCGATTTCACAGTGGCGCAAAAATATTCGCGATATCCGATTGCGTTCGGTTGACGCTGCGCGCGTTCTCGGGAACACGCGCGTTTATTCTCGCGCGGGCAATAATGCGAGGGAAGTTCATGCCAAAATAAGACCAAGACGGCTCGTAAATCCGTCTTTTATGCCTTCCTCTCGTCGTTATTCTCAAACCTGGAAGGGTTAATATCAACGCTGACTTCGCGGAAAACTCCTCCTCCTCTTCCAAGTATTTCGAAAACCACCGCGCGGCGGTTGTTGAAGAAGTCGTTACGCCCGAAATTTATCGGCCTCTTCGTCGTGTCAGGTCTGCATTTTCACGCGCGCGCGTCTCTCGTTTTCTCTCTCTTTCGGAAAGATCTTTCATTTAAAGTTTTCATAACGAGTGCGGGAGATCGGCTCGTAAACGGAGCTACAACGGCAATCCACCTGGGGATTTTTTCCCTTTCTTTTTCTTTTTTTTTTTTAGAGGATGACATTAACGTATATCCGAGAGACGCGTAACGAACGATCCCGTCGAAACTTTCCCTCGCATCCCGCGGGAATTCCTCGAGAGGCCCCTGTGTGAGCGATCGTCGCTTCGGGACTTTTCTCAGGCGTAAGCCGAAGATATTCGAACGCGTCTTTATGACAAATATGGAATCCGGAAAAGCCCGTCAATCCCGCGGAACTTTTCCCCGCGTGATGCGAAACTGGAGGAAAGTTCACAAAAAAAAAAAAAAGAAAAGAAAAAAAGTTTGGGGTGGCGGGAATTCTGTTTGCAATAATGTAAATTAGAATCAGAGATGAGTTCGGGGGAATACATTTGCACATGGAATACACGGACGGGGAAATTACATGTCACTGTTTTTATATAATCGAATTGGAACGCACGTGTTATTTGCGGTCGGCGATAATATGCCGATAATGTGCGCTTAATATTGACGATTAATTTTGTGGAGACTCGATGGCGACTATTAGCGGATACGTAACGTCGGAGATTGAACATGTGAACGCGCGCAACATGAGTTTAACTCGCATAGAAAGTGCGCGCGTACACACACACACACATTACAATATTTGCAATTCAATTATACCGCGACACATTCGTCGCGCAATTAAATCTGCGCACTTGAGATGCGCATATGATATGGCGGATGATCGCGGCAACGCGATCTGCGCGTCGCGATGTCTATGTGTGTTGTAACGGCACGTTACAATTCAATTAAATACGGATTTGAGATTTGCATACGTCAGTTTCGTGTATGTGCGGTGTGTGTGTGTGTGTGCGATGCCACGTACGCGTTTAATGTCAGTTAATCTGTAATTAGCTGGATTTTCTCTCTTGATGTCGTAATTACGCATTATTGCAACATTCGATAGACGCGGGATTAAAATATCGCGTGTGGGAGATCGCGCGCGTAATTGAAAATAAATAATTTTCACCGTTTCGAATTTGTACGTGTAAGACCGTGTTATACATCGGGTCGATGGTTGTCGTCTTATAACGCCGTTAATTGCGTCTGATGTAATCAAGCACTTGTAAGCGCTCACGTCAACGTAGGGAAATAGCGTTCTGACGTGTAGCGCCGGGGATCGAGTAACTTGTAACGCGCGCAATCGGGAAACGTCGGGGCTCGAGGAGGGTGAAACTTACCAGCTTGACGGTGTTGCCGGCCCGCTTGAGGGCGTCTACGGCGGCCGCATGCGGCACGTCGACCACGGACACGTCGTTCACCTGCAGTATCGTGTCGTTGACACGCAGCCGACCGTCCGCAGACGCGGCGCCGCCCGGTATGAGCTTCGTGATGTAAATAGCGGTGTCGTTGCCATAATGCGGATTGTCCGTGCCGCCGGCGATGCTGAAACCTAGGCCTGCCCCGCCCCGTTCCAGAACGATCTCCTCGTACTCCCAATCATCGTCGCCGTTCACCTGCGAACACAAACGTCACATTTCGCTTCGTTACATCGAGAGTAACTTTGTGTCTTTAAACTAATTTCTAAGAGACAAGAGTCAGAAGATTGAACCACTAAAGAAGACTTTTTTCCAGTAGATTGAGAAAAAAATAAACGGACTCGGAAAGAAAAAAGAGATTCTTCTGGCGTGAGTCCAGAATCGGTCGGTTCATATCGCGGCAATCCGCAATCCTAATTGTGTGGAAGACCTCGAGCCTCTCCTCCTCCGGCGAAGGAAGAGGTTAAGCGGTTAATTGATTTTCAACCTCATGTGGGAGTAGATTAGGTCGTGCCAGTGTCCCGGGATCGATGGCGGTCGGTTATACGGGGACAAAGAGCGTCGTTTAAGCTCTCAACACCAGCTGACGGGCGCTATACATCGAAACACTGTGTATTTCCATATTCCGCCGAGCAATGCACTTTGTTATCCGCGGTGGTGTATCCCTCGTGTAGCACGAGACGTTCGCTAAGTGCATCTGATAAGCGCCGGCTGATTTTCCTCCGGGAGAACTCGGAATTGGCTTTCCGATATTTCGTGTCCGATGGTTCGACATTGATATTTCTCCGATTGTTGCAACGTAATGCAATTCGCGTAAATAAATTCTGTAGCAGAGCATGGGAAGACCCATGTCTCAGTCCACGAAAGATTAAATTTATATTTATATATTTACTTTATATATATATATTTTTTTTTATTAAAAACTAACAACAAACATGTCGCAGCTGTGAATTTCCGTAATCCAAAACGCGGTCGCGCGAACGATTGGAAAAAAAAAAGACGAGAGCTTGAACGATGTTTATTCATTGGTTAATTTCGCATAAACTTCCGCGCGGAAAATTCCGAAGGGGGGCTTTACAGGAGAGGAGAGACTGGAGCGCGCGAGAAAGCAAAGAAGCTCGTTACCGGCTCTTTCTAAAGGACCTCAACGTCTAATTATCTTTGGGCAACGTTGGCGCCGACGAGACGTCGTATTAATATTCCGCGACGACGGAATAATTAAAACGGATCGTAGCGAGGTATCGACAACTTTGCGCGGTATCTTTTTTTTACCTTTGCGTATCAAAGTAAACCGAAAAATAAAATATTAAAATGAGGAAAGGAAGAAAAAAAACAAAGGGAGGAAAATCCTCCAACAACGTGAATCCGAGATCAGGCTGTGTAAGACCTAATCGCGTGTAGCGAATACGAGATTAAGACGAAATACTACAATTGCTTCTTGTTATGAGGGGGGAAACGTTTCTGTGTGTTTCGTGCGAATACAAATACGAATTAACTAATTGAATTAGCGGGAGGAAAACTTGTGTGCAATTAACACGATTCCCGGAGGTAAAAGGAGAATTGCGTGCCCGGCGAAAGGGATCTACAACGCAGCGCTAAAGATCCTTCGCGAGGGAGCGCGATTGAGCGATCGCAATTATGCACAATTCGCTAGAGCAAATGGAAAACCATTTTAATCGGATGAAAAGCCGATTAAAGCCCCGGGATAATGCGTGCCAGAGACACGTTCTCGTGGCGCATCGCGCATCCCCGGAGGTATATCAGTTACCCGCGATGTATATTCATACTCTCGTATTTGACGATTCGATAGGAGCAATGGCAAAATACTCGCGGCGAAATAAACACCGTTCCCATCGAGCTGTCAAAGTTTTCTTCCCCGAAAAAAAAAAACATTTTCAAAGTTCTATCGAATATAAACATAATAATAATATCTATATTAGGTGCAACAAGCGTAAATGAAAAATGAAAAAATAACTAACCTTAGAGATCTAATAGGCGAGACTACAGAAGCCTGTTTCAATGCGTTATCTGAGATTTACACAAAAATAAAAATAAAAATAAAAACTGATTAAAGAGAAAGTCACCGAAAAAACAAAAAAAAAAAAAAATAATTAAAACGGGCAAGTATGCATGAATGCGCAGCTGAGCGAAATGAGAGAAAGGATGTTTCGGTCTGAATTTCATTCGGAAGCAAATTAAAAAATTTTTACAGCACGAAGTGAATTAAAAGCGAAATCTCGAAAAAAGTAAAAGAGAAGCCTCTGCATTATGGGAGCGCGTGCGAAAGTCGCAAGATAAAAGAAATAACTCCGCGTGCAAAGCAAGTTGGATTGGTTCGGATTGCATCTCAATTAGGCCAAAGAATTCGCGGAACAAACAATTTCCTCTAAAGTCATCAAGGATAGAGATCGCGAATCCTTGATGCTCGACACAACGTAGTACGTGGGCCTGCTGCATGTCAGATCCCTTTAGCAGGGATGCATCTCTCACCGAGGGCAGTACACGGCGGTTAAAGGCCTCTCTCTCTCTCTCTTGAGCTGACTATTACCGCAATTATGCGTCTATCCCGCGCGTACGTGCCATTCCAATCGCGTTCGCCGCTGTCCAACGAATCCAACAGTTCAGGAGGCAAAAGGGTTTGTGCGGTAGCAATTTCTCTCTCTCTCGCTCTGCGCACAGCGCATGTCGGCATGCATCTCCGGACATACATTCCGAACTGGCTCTCCGCAACACGCGCATTTATCGAGACATACAATCCGCCGCTCGCAGATTTGACGCACGCGATGCACGTTGCGAAATCGCGAATTAATCGCGTCGAAATTATGCTAATTCCGCCTAAGCCTCTCATTTACTCTTCTCTCCTTCTGTTCCTATCTCCGTTTCCCTTTGTTCTCTTCCGCGTCCATCGCATTATTCCAGCGCGCTTCCCTCAACGAGAGAAAGAGAGAGAGACACACACACGTGCATAATAATGTCAGCGATGAACTCGCGGGCCCGTCATTGTGTCGCGCCACACGGCACAATTATGTCTGCGCAAGAATTAGCCGGCGATTAGGGACGTAATTATAGACCCGTTAATTAATTTGTACGTGAGTGTACATAGTCCCGCGGCACATTCCGGCCGGCGACGTTTGCCGGATTTGTTTGATGGCTCGTTACCGGCTACGATTAATTGGTTCGCACATTTTGAGCCGGTGCGTTACATTGCGCTGTGATTGTCGCAAACAGCTTTGTTGCACACGCACATATAATTCGAATACACAGCGTAAGGTGAACGCACCGGTGGAGATCGAGGTCTTGCCAGAGGAAATAAGTTAATTAACACAATATTACATTAACGTAACAAATTTGACGACAAATTTAAAAAAGCTCATAGTATCAAAGTAGCTAAAAAAATATATATATTTCGCACGAACATCTGGCACATCGGCTCGCACTGATCGTATTACACTAACTTGTAATTTCTCATCAAATAAATTTAACGCAAAAGTGACTTTGCTCATTTGGGACAATCTAATTAAACGCTCGCCTTTCTGCTTTAAGTGGTTCTAAGCAGCCACGTAGCGGCGGAAGTTGCGATAACGATAAACGAGCGTGTTCCGGAACCATCAAAGAGTTTACGCTCGTCATAAATCATGCGACGTCGCATGGGAACGCGAGTGCGAGCGTACTCGTGCCGACTGCGCGGCGCGTAATTTCAAATCGTTAATTTACCATTTTCCCAGTTCGGCCGACCGCGCCGGCGATTTCACTATTTGGACGTCACCGAAATGGATCTTCCCACGATTACGCCACATCAAACACTCGCGTGTAGAAATTGACGATCGCCGATCACACTTTCCGCTCACGATTCGATTACGCGCGGCGACGAGGAGGAACCGCGCGTGTCCCGCGCGCCTCTTAACTCAAACAATTTCAATAGGCGAGAGAGCAGGTGTTGCAGTTTTCTCTCCTTCTCTCCTCACTCCCGAACGTTCGACCGCTGATTTATCGCGCGCGACGGACAGATTTATGCGTTTTACATAATGCACGCCAAGCCGCACCGCCGCCGCCGCCGCTGCCGTCGCGCCGTTGCTTATTCATCGCGCGCGGCCGCGATTTTTGCCTCTTATACCGCGCGCGGAGATGCGCGACGCTCCATAAATCCCGGAACGAATGTCTTATGCAACGCGCGTTTTTATGCCGGCGACACGCGGGACACTAAGCAACGTCGATTCCCCGCGAGAACTCGCGCGTTCTTATCACAAACGCGGCGAACTGCTCGCGAATCTCGCACGTGTCTCGCGCGAGGGACACCGCCACGTTTTGCACACATCAACCGCGACGGCGATGTGCTCGCTCTCGGCGCTATATATACGTTCCCTCGTTGGAAATCTGCCACACGAAGAAGCGAAGCACACGTGTCTCTTCGCGACTCGAGAACTGATTCGGGACGGAAAGGAAAAAAAAAATTAACGATTGCGCAACGTTGCGATTTTCACTTCTCTCGGTTGTTGCATCGCAAACTGACGGACGATGCGCGAGCGACGCGATTGCGCAAAATCTGCGATTTTCGCGGCTGTAATGCGTTTCGCTCTTTTTTTTTTTCGCGACCTCGTGCGAGAACAACGACGACGCGCGGCTGCGAAAAAACAACTGCGATCTTCGTTGCGCGCGACGACGCACACGCCGGTGACTCGAGAAGTAACGTTATCCAGCTCCCGTTCTCTCGCGCGGCAGCAGAGCGTTACTCGCGCGCGGACTGTCGCGCTCGCCACGCTAGTCATCGCTATTATAATATCGGGTGGAGCGCTCTCCTCTTTCTCTCTCTCTCTCTTTCTCGCGCGCGTACGTTCTCTGTTTCTCTCTCTCTCTCTCTCTGTCGACGGCTATTTCCGGCACCCTGTGAAAATAAATGCGGCACGCGTCCTGATCGCGCGCGCGTTCGCGCCCAAAATTAACCTGCCAACCGGAACGCGGTAAAGTTTGATCGATGGATCGTTCATCGTTCGTTGACCGCTCGCGCAACTAATTTTACTCTCTCGCAATTAAGGCCGGCGGAAATAAAATTCGCGCTGGAAAAATCCACGACTTGTATCGTCGCCGAGGCGTCCCGCGGCAACGCCGTTCCGTACGTCGTTACTTTTTTTTTTTTTACGGAAAGTGATATTTTTAACCTTCGCTTCTCCTCTCTTTCTCTCTCTTTTGGTTTCTCTGTA